ATATTTTAAATATTTATTTTTTTCTATTTTAAAGACGGAGGGAGATCTTCGACCCATGGGTTCAATCCCCAAAGGCCACCAACAGCTGAGACTGGGCCATGTCTGAGCCTGGGTCTGTAACTCCATCCAGGTCTCCCTTGTGAGTGGCAGGGCTCCAAGAACTTGAGCCATCACCTGCTGCCTACCAGAGTGCACATTAGCAGGCAGTTGGATTGGAAGCAGAGTAGCCAAAACTTAAGCCAGGCACTCCAATATGGGATTTGAGCATCCCAAGTGGCAGCTTGACCCGGCTCACCACAGTGCCACCACTGTCCCCTACCTAGGTGCACGACGCTCTTTCCAGTTCTGTGTTTTCTTGAGGCAGGTAGATCTATACTATTCATTGTCATTTTCCAGCACTTAACTTATTGTGTGCTTCCTGCCATGTGTTCAAGGAACTTAAAATATGTTAACTGATTGAGTAAATGAGCGCTGATTCTAACCTCTGGTCCATCCTAAGGCAAAGATACAAACATACAGGAAATACAGGATGGATGAAAACAGAGCATTACTGAGGGAAAAGGCTATCAGTTTTGCTGCTCTGTTTGTCTATCCAAAATTCATTCCACAATGTAAATTGAATGCCTTCTATATGATGGAAAATATGTTAGACACTTAGGTTCCAAGATGAAGACACAGACCTTGCCTCCCATTTTTTTAAGACTTTTTAAAGACTTACTTATTTGAAAGAGCTACAGAGAGAGAGAGTGCAAGAGCACTCTTCAATGTGCTGGTTCGCTTCCCAATGGTTGCAATGGCTGGGGCTGTGACAGGCTAAAGCCAGGAGCCAGGAGCTTCTTCTTGGTCTCCAAGTGGGTACAGGGACCCAAGCACTTGGGCCATCCACTGCTGCTTTCCTAGGTACATTAGCAGGCAGCTGGACCAGAAGCAGAGCAGCCAGGGCTTGAACTTGTGTTTGACGGGATGCTGGCACTGCTGATGGTGCCACAGTGCCAGCCCCCTTGCCTCCCATTTTCACATGATAGTATTTATCATACTCTATTATTATTGCTTATGTGCTTACCACCAGACCCTGAGCTCTGTGAGAACCCTGCAAGTAAGCACTCAGAAAACACTTGGTTAATCTTCTAATGGAGATTGGAGTCTACTGGAGAAAGACAATCATATATAGCCAGGATCTTTCGCTGTGATAAAGCAAAGCTGCTGACTTCTGCTGATGTAGCAGAAAACAAGTACATTATTGAAGATATTGGGTAACTCTGAGGAGTGTTGAAAGATATTCGGGACTGAGGCCAACCTCCAGGAATGTTAAAGAAAACCAGCACAGAACTAGCCCAATCAGGAGACTGTCTCCAACTCAGCTGTGCAGAAACACCACTTCTCATCAGAAATTCAATTCTGCAACCACTGAGAAGCTGCTTTTGCTGCCAGCCTGCCAACAAAGGCAGCCGCCTTTGCTGTGTGTTCCAGCAAAACGGGAAGCCCCACACAGAACCTGTTTCCTCTGGTTGCTCAGACCTGTGTTCAAGTTTCTTAGAGCCCGAGTCACATTCCTGAGCCCAACTGCAAAGGAAGTTGGGACTCTGAGTTCTAAGTGAAAGAAAGCTATTCCAAACATGATGGGCACCCATAACTATGACAAGTGTCCACTGACCCGCAGCAATGTGACAGGAGCTAGACTGAAAACATGCAGACAGGATTCTGTTCTCATAGAACTCACATCCTCGTAGGAAAGACAAGCAATGAACGTGATGGCTAGTGATGGAAGCACAAAGACAAGTGAGGCTGTGAATGAGGGTCTTTAAGGAAGGTTTTTCTAAGATGAAGACAGACTCAGATGAGGTAAGGGAGCAGCAGGCACAAGGGCTCTGAGATGGATGCTGACTTGGCATTCCTAAAGCCCTGCGAGGAGGTAGAGGATGGGCTGAGGAAGTGAGGCAGTGGGGGGTGGGGGGGATGAGCTGGGAAGGGAAGCCAAGGACCAGGTCGCCCAGGCCATAGCTTTGCTTTGTTAAAGATTTTATTTGAGAGAGAGAGAGAGAGAGAGAGAGAGATATCCTCTCCCCAAATGGCAGCAATGGCTGGGGCTAGGCTAGACCGCAGCCAGGAGCCAGAAGCTTCTTCAGGTCTCCCACGTTGGTGCAGGGGCCCAAGGACTTGGACCACGTTTCACTGCTTTTTCCAGGACATTAGCAGGGAGCTGGATCAGAAGTGGAGCAGCCAGGACTTGAACTGCAGGCCACAGTTTTGAATTCTGTCAGGTGGCAGAGGAATGGTACTACTTGACTTATATTTTAAAGCATTTGGCTGGTGCTGTGGTGCAGTGGGTTAAGCTGCTGTCTGCAGTGCTGGGATCCCATATGGGTGTGTGTCCTGGCTGCTCCACTTCTGATCCAGATCCCTGCTAATGTGCCTGTGAAAGCAACAGAGAATGGCTCAAGTCCTTGGGCCCCTGCATCCATGTGGAACACCAGGGGTGGGGTTCAGGGAGAAGTTCCTGGCTCTAGTCTGGCTCAGCCTCAGTTGTGGATATTTGGGAAGTCAAACAGTGGATGGAAGCACTCGCTCTACCACTCTCTCTCTAACTCTGCCTTTCAAATAAAAAAAAAATAAGATTCTTTTAAAAAGGGGTGGGGGTTCACGCTGACAATTGTTCAGAGAACGGATAAGGGTAAAAGGGTGTAAGTGGGAAAAGCGAGCTGAGCAAAATATGGGCGGTGGGATCAGAGTGCTAACTAGACCCAGCTGGTTGGGGAGAAGGCAAGGTATGAAAGGAATCTTGAGAAACAAGTGAAAACTGCCCCAGAGAAAAGATCACAAGGCATCTTAGGCAAAGGCAAGAAAAGGAAGAAAGGGGCTGGCACTGTAGTGCAGGGGGTTAAGCCTCCACCTGCAGTGCTGGCATCCCAACTGGGCGCTGGTTCAAGTTCCAGATCCTCCACTTCTGATCCAGCTCCCTGCTAATGTGCCTGGGAAAAGCAGTGGAAGATGGTCCAAGTGCTTGGGACCCTGCACCCATAAGGGAGACCCAGAAGAAGCTCCTGGCTTTGACCTGGTCCAGCCTTGGCCGATGTGGCCATTTGGGAAGTAAACCAGCAGATGGAAGATCTCTCTTTTTTAAAAAAGAACACAGGGAAAGCTCTGGAATGTTTGGAGAACTTTTGAGTGACGTTACAGAGAAGATGCAGACACATGGCTGGAAGGGAAAGGAGACCTAGACTGCCAGAGTTGTCTATGCTGTCCACACCCACACTCCAACACATATGTTATTTACTTTCAATATCAAAGCGAGGAGGCTGGGCCAGGGCCAAGTCTCCCACACAGGTGGCAGGGACCTAAGTACATGAGCATCCCCTGCTGTCTCCTAGGGTGCTCATATCAGGAAGGCTTGGAACTGGAAGCAGAGCTGGGAATGGACTCAGGCACTGTCATGGGATGCAGGTGTCCCAAGCAGCACCTTAAGCACTGTGCCAAATGTCCATCCCCTATTCTTTTAGCCTTTGATGTCCTCAAACTAAAATGCTGCTACAGTGATGGGAGCAGAGTGTGAGACAAAACTGGACCTACATCTTCCCCCAGGGAGTCCAGACCTCCCATGAGAGTTTCTAAGGGGGCAGAACGTTCATAGTTCCTGCGTCCTCCCACACCCAGACTAGACATGAACCACTTACAGCACTGAGCTGTTACTATCCAGGCAGCGCTGGACATATGCACTCACAGTGTGGTGTGCAATCAGTCTTCAAAGGAGATCTAAGGGCTGGAAAAACTGTCAAGTAGTCATCTGGTCTGTCCTGCACTAGTCTGTTCCTGCAGCTGTAACACAACGCCTTACACTGGTTAACTTATAAACAACAGACATGTATTTGCCACAGTTCTGGAAGCTGCAAAGTCCAAGGTCAAAACACCAACAGGCGCTCGTGCTGCTGTGTAGTAGGTTAAGCTTCCACCTGTGGCACCAGCATCCCATATGGGTTCCCATTTGAGTTCCAACTGCTCCAATTCCGATCCAGCTCCCTACTAATGTGCCTGGGAGAGCAGTGGAAGATGGCCCAACTGCTTGGGCCTCTGCACCCAGAAGCAGCTCCTGGATCCTGGCTTTGGAACGGTCTAGCTCCCTAGCTCTGGCAGTTGCGGCCATTTGGGGAGTGAACCAGCGGATGAAAGAACTCTTTTTAAACATAAAAGATACCAACAGATCTGCTTCCCGGAGGGCATCTTCTCGCTGGGTGCTCACCGGGTGTAAGGGGAGAACCAGCCTTCTCAAGCTCCTCCTACTGAGACAGTCCTGGTGACCTAATCAGCTCCCAAGACCCCCACCTTTTAGTACCAGCACCTTGGGGACTAGGTTTCAGCATATGGATTAGGGGAGGGGGGCAAACATTCAGACCACGGCACACGTTCCCATTACACGTCTGGAGGCACCTCTTCCAGCGAGCAGACGCACACGGAGCCTCCAGATTCCTCAATTAAACAGACCGACCAAAGCCTGGACTGCGTGGTGCTTGCTGTTCGTCCACCTTGAACGCGGGGAAGGCGCCGCAGGCTGGCTGGTGGAAGCCACAGATGGTCCTGTCAATTTAGAACAGAGTGCCCTGGTCTAGGACTTCCCAGGTCCGCAGCGACAGATTTGCCAGAGGTCAGAGTGCAATCACTCACAAGAAGGCTTCGTGAACTTAACTGCAATGTGCCCTTTACTGCAATAAAATCTAGGTCAGGTGCCAACGATTTGCAACATTGAGAGCACTGCAGGTGGGGATTCACCTGATTTTAAGCGCCCTGGATCCATCTGCCCTCCACCTCGGCTGCGGGTCGCTCTGCTGCAGCATCAGACACAGCCCACTTCCGAGTTCCCAGCGGGACCCACGGTGCTGACTTAGAAGCACTGCACAGCAAGTGAGCAGAGCTGGCTTCCAAGCACTTCAGAGGGATCCGCCAACAACTGTATCAAACAGGCTGTTGCCTCCAACTGGGCCACCTTAGGAGAGAAGGGGTCTGGTTAGACCCCCGTGTCTCAGCCTCGATCTGCCTGCAGCGCGCGCCCCCATCACCCTCCACGAATCTGCACGGAACCAATCTCGATCGATCCAGAGATCCAGAGAGCCTGTGGCGAAGACGACATACAACTGGGGCATGCAGATCGTGCATGCTTTACGTTTCAACTTAAAACGACTGTGTCCGGCAGCTCTGCCCTCCCCAGGCTGGCCACGGGGCTGGGGAAAGACCCCTACCCCCAGGCCTCCTCAGAGGGAACGCCGCCGCTCCACTTTTCTCCCGGACTCCCCTCGGCTCCCGCCCCCACCTGCAACTCCCCGCTCCGCCTCCGCGCTGCACGCACCCCGCCCCCCGCCCGAAAACTACTCTTCAAAGACTTCCTTCCGGGCCCGGCGAAGCGCAGCGTGCTCGGATCCGGAGCGGCAGCGGGCCTCGCCTTCATCCGCGACAACAAAACCGCCGCTTCCTTGCACACAGACAACCGAGCTACCGGCGCACAGGCTCCTGCTCTCGAGGCCCCGGGGAGAGTCGCCGCGCCCGGCCCCGCCAAGCCCGCCCCGCACGCCGGCCCCGCCTCAGGCCCCGCCCCGGCTCCGCGCGCGGCGCCCCCTCCAGGCCCGGCTCCCGCGCCCTATTTGGTCATTCGGGAGGCAGGCGGCGGGAAGAGCGGCTTGGTCGCCGCAGAGGGACGGGCGGCGGGCTCCGTGCGCTCGCTGAGAGGTCGCTCTCCCCGCCGCTGCCGCCGCCACCTCGGCTGGGGACCCACGAGGCCGCCGCGTCCTGCCCTCGGAACAATGGGACTGGGCCCGCGAGGTGCCTGGGCCGTGCTCCTCCTGGGGGCGCTGCAGGTGCTGGCGCTGCTGGGGACCGCCCTGAGCGCCGAAGACCCGCTGGGTGAGTGAGCCCCGGGGTTGCCAGCCCCCCAGGCCAGAGAGGAAGCGCGCCGCCGGGGAGTGGGCTTCCAAGTTGGGGTCCCGTGCGTGAAGTTCTGGCCGACGCACGGGGGCCGACCGGGAGGAGGAAGACAAGGTGGGAGGAAACTGAGGCTGGGGCGGGTCTGCCTCTGGCCCTTGCTCTGGGTTTCCGGGAAGTGGTGGCCGCAGCTCCGGAGGGGCGTCTACAACCTGTTGAGTTACCCGAAGCCCGGGCCTCGAGTGGTTCTCCAGGCTTCCCCGAAGTTAGGGTCCCATGGGTGGGGTTGATCGCAGGCTCCCCTCCGTAAACAACGCTCAGGTGGATTGCAGGTAGTGCCTGCCGCCGACTCGTGCGGAGACGTTGTCTGCTGGTTGCTTAGGGATCCTTTCGGGCGTCTCCCCGGCGTTTTTATCATCTGATTGTGTGTCGCATCTCGCGAAGGATGTGCAGTCCTAACGCTTGAAGTTAGGCTCGGGGGCGAGCGGGACTGGGTGGGAGCCGGGGGCCGCGTGCCTGCTCTCCTGGCGCAGGTGAGGCTCGCGGCCCTGCGCTTCGGCGCCCCCCAACCTCGCCGGGCAGAAGCACCCAGTCGTGGCGCGCGGCAGCTGCGCGGCCTGGAAACCGCAGCTGTAGGGGCGCAGGGAGCCCTCCACGTCGCCCGCAAGGTCACAACAGAGTGATGTTGACTTGACTCGTGTAGGCGCTTTTGTTCCCCCTCGGGCCTTGGGCCCTTTGGAGACTTGAAAAGAGTGTTTTGGATGGGGCCAGGAATCAGGAAACCGGCTCGGTAAATTCTGTTTTGTCAACTATTCTAAGAGTTGAAACACTGGATGGCGGTCAGTAAACCAGAAATAAGTTGCTTTAAGTTAGCCACGTCTTTCATGGCTTCTCTCTTTGTGCTGTGTATTTAACTTGGATGAGTTTTATCTAGCAAGAGAGAAAGAGGCGCTTTGCATAACCAGCCAGTCCAGGCACGACACCTGCTTCTGCTAGAATCATCTGGTTGCATCACATAACACTTTTTATTTGTTTTGCTTAATTTTTTTTTGTTTGCTGAATTGTGCATATGGAAAACTGGCTTTTTGCACACCTAATTTTGAGGTCATGTAAGAAAGTGGTTGGTAAGATGCCCATGTACCTTACCTCCTGTTATGTCAATATTTATTTCAGGAAGTCTTCATTTTTCTTTTGAAGTTTGTTACTTTGTGAAAGTAAACCTTTTTATTGTTTCTCTAGTGAATTACCAACTAGAGAAACTGCTGAGGGCCCTTTTATTTCTTTTGCCCTCCTAACACAGATTTTTTTTGCTCTATTTTAACACTCATCTTACTCAAAATAAAACAGTGAATACATGTTTGATTTCAAATCAGAATCGGAACTCATTAACCATTTCAACACTAAGCACATTATATGAGGTTGGCTCTTAAAAATAGGTAATGCTTTATTTTCACAATACTGCTCTTGTCTACAAGATTGTGAGAGGAGAGAAGAAATCATGGTGGAAATTCTGCCTTCAAAATATTCTTCACTGTCTGCTGCATGGTTTTATAAATATCCTCAGTTGGAGGAGGGGAAATGGTATGAACAAGTTAGCAGTCAGCCAATAGGAGAGACTGTGGTTTTCTAAGGAACAATGATGAGAGAGAAGCTTGGAGGCGAAAGATAGACGTCAACCTTGCACAATCTTAGGGCAAGAAGGGACTTTATCCATTGTTGTGACTGGAAAGTTATGAGTTGAGGTAATTTGGAACTGGCTGTGTTCAGAGGTTCCTGTAGGTTACCAAGAAATCATTTCACACAAACAGGAAGCTTTTGCAGTGGTCCAGGCAAGAATGATGGTGTGCGGTAACAGCGGTTGTAGGTCGGTGGATTCTACATCTGAGGCTGCTCGCTTGAGAATGGATTGGACAGTTGAGTGGGAAGGAAGGAGAACTCGAAGGATGACCTCTTGGTCTGGGGGTTGAGAGGCTGATATCAACAAGCAGGAAGATGGGTAACAGCCGCTCTACAGTGGGCCATCAGCAGGTGTGTTCTGGCGCTCACACACACATAGGCTTGGGATCCATCAGGCTGGCACAGATCCAGACTCTGCCACTTGGCCCTCGCTAGGCCTCAGTTCCTGTCACCACAGAACTGCTGCTGGGTGAGAGTAATGGTTGGGAGGGTGATAGGAGCTAATGTCAGTGCCATGTTCCCCACAAGGCCTGACATGTGGTGAGCGCTTCATAATGTTGGCGATTCCTTGATACCTGCCACTGAAGACCTCTGTGTAGTCTCCTGACCTTGATCTTCAAGTTTGATCTTACACTGTATCCTTCTATGATAAAGGGATTACGGTGTTATCAAAAGGAAGAAATTTACCTAAGCAGTAAAGATAGTGCCTTCACAGTTGTTACCACTTGCCTTTCTTTGTACTTTTAGTTGGGGAGGGTCCGTCTTTGTGAAACACACGTAGTAAAACCCTTGCCCTCTTTTTCAGTCTTCCTTTGTACCAAGAATGAAGGTGAATAAACCAGAAGTCCCTTAGCTAGGCCACGGGATTCTCTTTTTTCCAAATCTTAAGTACTAGTTTAAAAATGAAAAGACTCACACGGAGACGTTTTGCGATTGACAGTGATGATCCTGCGCTCTTCATGTCTCCATTATGAAGGTAGAGATGGTGGTGGTGCTAGGCCTGGACAGAACCGGAGTAGAAGGGCGACCTGCAGCTCCTGCATCAGTGTGTGTCCCCACCTTCCAACTCCAGCTTCCTCCTAAAGCAGATCCGGGAGGGAGGGAGCAGGGGATCGGGTTCCTGGGCATTCGAGAGTGCAGCGGTGGACTGGGGAGAGCCCCCTCTCCCTTACCTCTTCCTCTCCTCCCTCCCCACCCCCTGACCAATTCTCTTTCACTGCCTCTTAAATAAGTTACAAAGAAAAAGTGGGGGGAGAGACAGGAAGAAGAAAGGGGCCCTCTGGAATTGGTCCAGGCCTCTCAGAAGAGCAGACTTGTCAGGAGCAGAACCTGTCGCCATTTTCTCTGTCTTCATGTGGGCAAGTGAGTTTTGGCAAAGCTGTCACACTCACTCGTGTGGCTGGCACATAGTAAGTACTATGTAAATGTTTGTTACATAAGCGAGATGTTTTCTGTCTTGAAAAATCCAGTAATGCAGTTCCAGATTTACTGACAGCTTCAAGGTGTGTTTCATAGCAACAGTGGCAAAAGTAGAATAATAATCTACCCTCCCCCATCCCACCCGTCCTCAGGCAGAAAGGAACATATTGCCAGCCAGTGTTCCTATTAAATATTAAACGTTCTTTCATAACAAGATGTGTCTTTATTTTTATAGGGACTTCAGATACCAAGGATATTGTATCTCTGCAAAACTCCACTGCTAATTCAACAGGTGAGTTTTAAAACATTTAAGAAATGCATTTCCATCGGTCTGGGATACATAAAGTGTTGGCAGCCAGGGAAGGACATGTATGTTGGCCCACAGACCGGTGTTAACCAGGCGAACTCTGAGGGTGTGTCTCCCGGAGCATGTGCTACGATTATTCATCCGTGAATCCGTTGCCTGCCCCAAAGGGCTGTCCGGCAGAGGCATCGATATGAGGATTACATTCAGAATGTTTCTCAGTCTAGCAAAGACTAAGCGAATAAATTCTAAAATCAGACGTACCGGACTTTGTGAGTTTTGGAGCACACTTTGAGACGGGAAGCTTTGTGCGCCGCCTATAGGAATGAAGGAGGGACACGTGCACGTGTGGGCCCTGCTGGTGAGACAGCTCACTCTCAGCCGGTCTGCTCTGGCAGCCTCGCTGCACCGTGGCTGCCTCTGAGACCTGCTTACAGGTCAGCCGTCCGTCCGACTCCATGCTGCTTCCTTGCTGCAACAGTTGGTGAGGCCCTTCCCCCTTGCCTGTCCTTTGCCACAAATGGATCCCTTCCATGCCACTCCGAAGTCGCTAGCATGCAAAGATGCAAGCATCAGGCTAACGTTGTCCATGGCAGTAGTAAATCAGCAAGGCGTGATTCTCCTAAGCCCTACTCGGGTTGCCTCCCCACTGCCCTGTCCTTCGTCGTTCACTGTGTGGAAGCTATTAAAAAGGAGCACATATCCTGCTAGACCTGTTTCCTCTGCTTTCATTCTGTGATTATTTAGCAAATGTCTCTAATGTGCTGGCGTGTTCTCCCTGCTAAGGATACACAGTGGACCAAATCCTGACTACTTGCAGATTTTGATTTTTTGGTTTTGTATTACTGTCATAAATATCACCTGAAGTTTATCATTGTACCCATATTTCAGACCCAGCAGCATTAAGTACATTCATTCTGTTGTGCAGTTTCATGGAGTCCTTAATTCTTGGGGGCATCTCAGGGCTCCCCTAGGTTCCTACTCTCAGTTGACCTCTGCTTTCTTTTTATTAGCTCTGCGTTTGCTACTCGCCTCTGGTGGAATATAATCAGGACACACTTTTATGCCAGCGAGGTTTAGTTTTTCTACAGAAAAAATTTTACTAGAGGAAAAAAGACTAGATAGATTACCCGAAACTATAATAGCAGTTATCATTGGGTGGTTATGGCAGGAATTTTTAAAGAAAACATTTTAATAGGTTATTAGGTGTCTTGTGTATTTTTTTTTTTTAAGATTTATTGATTTATTTGCGAGGCAGAATTATAAACAGAGAGGGAGAGGTAGAGAGGTCTTCTGTTTGCTGGTTTACTCTCCAAATGGCTGCAACAACTGGAGCTGGGCTGATCCAAAGTTGGGAGCCACGAGCTTTCTCTGAGTCTCCCACATGGGTACAGGGGCCCAAGCGCTTGGACCATCTTCTACTGCTTTCGCAGGTACATTAGCAGGGACCTGGATCAGAAGTAGAATAGCTGGGACTTGAACCAGCACCCATATGGGATGCCAGCATCACAGGCAGGGACTTACCCTACTATGCCATGGCATTGGCCCCTATTAGATGTCTCTTCCTAATGGCCTTTACCAAATCCATTCTTTTTTTTTTTTTAAGATTGATTGATTTATTTGAAAGGCAGACAGAGTTACATACAGAGAAAAGGAGAGGCAGAAAGAGAACTTCCATCTGTCTGCTGGTTCACTCCCCAATTGGCTGCAGTGGCTGGAGCTGCGCCGATCTGAAGCCAGGAGCTTCCTAGGGGTCTTCCCACGCAGGTGCAGGGGCCCAAGGACTTGGGCCATCTTCTGCTGCTTTCCCAGGCCATAGCAGAGAGCTGGGTCAGAAGTGGAGTAGCCGGGTCTCAAACCAACACCCATATGGGATACTGGCACTGCAGGCGGTGGCTTTTCCTGTTACACCACAGTGCTGGCCCTCTAAATCCGGTTCTGTGCTGCTTAACTTTTAACTTTGGATAAACCCAGGAGAAGAAAAGTAAAAATAAGAGTAGTATTAACAATAGCTATCATTTATTGTATGCCGGAAGCTTCTACAAGATACTTCTCATATGTTTTGCAGTCCAACAATGATGAGGTAGGGATCATCTTTGTTGTATGTGTAGGAAATTTTAAATTCAGAGTGGTTAAGGAATACCCGAGATCACAGGACAGTAAGTGCTGCATTCAGGATTTGAAACCCAATTTCTTGAATTTTAAAGCGTGCATTCCTTCCCCACACTTCTTGAAACTGCAGTGTGGCCTTAGCTTTAAGAAATACTTCTTGGGGCTGGCGCTGTGGCATGGCAGGTTAAGCTTCCACCTGTAGCACCGACATCTCACATGGGCACTGGTCTGAGTTAGGCTCCTGGCGTCAGCCTGGCACAGCCCTGGCTGTTGCGGCCACTTGGGAGATGAACCAGCAGATGGAAGATCTCTGTCCTCTGTCTCTGCTCTCCAACTCTCCTTTCAAATAAATAAATCTTAAAAAAAAAGTAGATAATATGGCTATTAAAAATGTTTTTAAAGGTCAATATGTAGCTCTTCTCACAACTCTTTATTATTCTTATATTCCCTGAGCCTTGGAAGCTCATGAAAAACAACTGGATGTGTGTATTTTCATACGACATAATGATGAACTTTTTTCTTTTTTTGTAACATGGAGCCTTTAATTGTTGAAACATGGTTTTGAACATACTGTTTACCAGTTTATTTGATGGTATTTATTTAGCACAGTTGATTTGGCACTGATCCCAATAGCAAAATAGCTTCTTTCTTTGGCAGACTCTATTACGATGTGTATTCCATAACTGTTAGTGGGAAAAGTAGGCACCGTCTGCCATACTACTTAGAGGACTGACTGGCTGTCACTTAGAGCACTTGCTGCATTGGAGTCCACAGATGTTTCTGTTTCCCTTGCTCTCCCTCTCCCTGTCTCCCTGTCTCCCTCTCTCCCTCTTTTAAAAAATGTTATTTATTTGAAAGAGGATCTTCCATTGTGCTGGTTTATTCCTCAAATGTGTGCGACAGCCACAGCTGGGCCTGGCTAAAATGAAGACCTAGGAAATCCTATCCGAGTCTACCACATGGGTGACAAGGACCCAAGTACTTGAGCCATCATTTGCTGCCTCCTAGGGTCTGCGTTAGCAGGAAGCTGGAATTGGAAGTGGAGCTGGGAATTGAACCCAGATATTCCCAGGATGGGATGCAGGCATCCCCAGTGGCATCTTAACCATTGTGCCAATTCCCTGCCTCTTTTTTTCTCTTATGTTTTTGGTTTCCATCCAAGTTCCTGAGAGAGGACTATATGATTTATTCTTTTCAACAGGTAACTCTACGCCTGGTACATAGTAGGTATGTAAAATAGTATATTTTTGGTTGCTTGAACTGACTTATCAGCATACTACTATACAGGTGGTCCCTGGCTTAAAGGTTTTCAACTTTACGGTGATGTCAAAGCAATTTGCATTCAGTAGAAATCGTACTTCGAATTTCGATCTTTGATCTTTTCTCAAGCTGCCAACATGTGGTACAGTCCTTTCTTATGATGTGGGCAGTGGCCATGGCTACAGCTTCCAGTCAGCACAGGACCCGAGGGGAGACCACCAGGAATCTACAGTGTATGGTGTTGCTTGGCTCTGGTGTTCTCTATAGGCGAAGCGTATAAAATGCATTTTCTTTGAAGATTTATTTACTTACTTGTTGGCAAAGCAGAGCAACAGAGAGAGTGGGAGACTGACACACATACACACACACACACCCCTTCCATTTGGTGATTCACTGCCCCAATGTCAGCGACAGCCAGGGCTGAGCCAGACCAAAGCCAGGAGTCTGGAACACTGTCCAAGTCTCCCACCTGGGAGGCAGGGCCCGAGGACTTGGGCCATCTTCCCCAGGTACGTTGGCAAGAAGCTGGATTAGAAGTGGAGGAGCCAGGACTCAGACTGACAACTGGCATTCAGTGGGATGTGGACATTCTTAGCTTTGTCTTAACCTGCTGTACTATAGCACCCATCCCTAAATGCATTTTCACTGTAGGATATTTTCAATTTAAGACGGGGGTCATTGGGATATAATCCCATTGTAAAATGAGGAGCATCTGTATATATTTTAAAGACATACATTGATCCATGCTCCTATCTAGCCATTTTTCTTTATTTTTTAAAAGATATATTTATTTATTTGAAAGGCAGAGTTACACAGAAAGAGAAGGAGAGGGAGAGAGAGAGAGGGAGGGAGGTGTCTTCCACCCGCTGGTTCACTCCCCAGTTGGCCACAACAGCTGAAGCTGTGCTGATCAGGAGCCAGGAGCTTCTTCCAGGTCTCCCACGGGAGTGCAGGGGCCCAAGGACTTGGGCCATCTTCTGCTTTCCCAGGCCATAGCAGAGAGCTGGATTGGAAATGGAGCATCCAGGACTCAAACCGGTACCTATATGGGATGCTGGCACTGCAGGCATTGGCTTTACCTGCTACACCACAGTGCCGGCCCCTGTTTTTCTTTATTTATAAAGTAATATAGGTACTGAAGTCAAAGAAACAGGGAATGAGGTTACTCTACAGTTGTACCATTGAACTATATGTAACTCTTCTACTTTTTTTTGTGGACTTACTTGTTTGAAAGGCAGAGAGTTTTTTTTCTTTTTTCCATCTGCTGGTTCATTCCCCAGATGGCCACAACATGCAGAACTGGGTCAGGCTGAAGCCAGGAGCCAGAAGCTACACCTATATTTCCTACCTGGGTGGCAGGACACCCGAGCCTTCTCTTTGATCACACAGTTTTTCTAACAAGGAGGAATCTGAGAGGGTCAGGTTACCACCATCCAGTTCGAAGCTATTTTCTTGGACATAACTTGTACTAAGCCAACTCTAAAACTCCTAGTTCTGTGTGTTTTTCATCCATAAATGATTGCCTTTGGGTTGGTGATCCATCCTGGACCCAGTCACTTTGGTTACCCCCGTAGAGCTGGTTTTAGCCACAGATATGGTAGGGACCACAGTGGTGT